TTGATTGTTGTGCCTCTTGGCATAAAATCCACTAACAAAAAGTCCCTTTCCTGTCCCAAAAGACAGTTACCATGATCTTTTGTGCTGAAATCGAATAACAGATCGTATCTTATAGTCGGCAGGTGACTCAATTTTATTAAATATTATAAACTTCCACAGCTCAGCACACAGACAGATGATACGGCTGCAAATGGCATTTAAACACATGCAAAGCATGCTGAATGCTTTGCACGTGTTTAGATGCTATTTGCAGCCGTTGGCAGATGTTCATGCACTCTGCTGAAATCGCGCGTCATTCTCACTCACAACTGGACCTTATTTAAAAAGTAGCCCTCATATTTAGAACTAGATATTAGAATTATAAGATATTCAGATGTAAGATATTGATTAAATTATTAACATTTTTGGTATGTTAAGGATATCTGCTGGGCTAAATTTCAACCAAATAAGTTGGTACAGATACATAACATTCTAGCAAAAATACTAGGAATCTTTTTAATAAAATATATCTTCTATATAATTTAAATTGTAATTAACAATAAAATCATAATAAAAATATACTTTTTCTAATAGTATTTCTTAGAATTTAAATTTCAAATACACTCAATCCAGTCCAAAACATCATAAAATATCAACACAAATTGTTCATTTCCATATCATAATCTTAGACATTTTTCTTTCATGAGAGATTCAACTTCAATATAATTTCATTCATGATAGAAGTGCATTAATTTTAGAAATAAATTCAAATTTTTATAGTATGATATATCATATAAAGTTTTTCATATTTTATTAGTAGTAATCAAACTCAAAGAGAAAGAAATTCTCTTTGAATTTCATAAAGACATATTTTCATTCATTTATCAACTAGAATTATTTGTTATTACATATAAAAACAAAACTTTTATAATTATCCAAATTTATTAAATTTCTATATATCAAAGAAACAGTTCAGAAATTTTTCTAAGTCTCGTCTAAAATCTTTCTTGGCAATCAATATATTGTGATTACATATTTTATAATAAAAAATTTTTATATCTTAATATATTGATATGCATCTAAATTTTTGTTTTTCTAAGCACTTTCAAGATATATTTAGAAACTTTAAACATTGCAAAATAAGGAGGGAAGTTTAATTAAGACTATTTACAAAAATTATAACATTTTTTAGTCTTTTCCTCATGTATGATTTTATGCAAATTGTAAAATAAATTAACATCACCACTAAGAGTTGATAAATATTAAGACTTCTTTATATTTCATTCATTTTGTTATCATATCCATTCATTAAAAGCATGTGATAAAGTTAAAAAAAAATTTGAGTAGTCTAAGACTTAATTTCTTTTATGTTTTATGATTTCTGTATTAAATTTAACTAAATTTACTATACTATAAACTGAATATACTTTGAATATTCTGGTTAATTTCAAGTCTTTTTTGCAATATTTAGCTTCTAATTAAAAACTTGAATTATTGATATTGTATTTTAAATGGTTCTTATTTGTACACAATGTTATAATTTATAACTTACATAGTATTATAAGGTTTAAAAAAATCATTTAATAAGCACAAGTAATTGATTTTACTTGAACTAACTAACTTTTTTCTTATCAAAATTGCTAAACTTTAGAAACTGAATTAGTATGTGAATATACTCATTTTTCCTTCTAGCAAATAACTGCAGTTTTATAAGACAGGCTTAGCACACATTAAAAATTATCTTTATCTAACTTAACTATGATATAAAAATTTACTAATTTCTATATATTTCCTATTTAAAGCCAACTTTTTACTTTCTAAGCTAATAAAACTATTCAATTTTTGAAAATATTAAGAATTCAAAATCAAACTTGAAATTTGTTTTTGATTTCTTTACATCATTCTCAAATTCTAAACTAATTCAATATGTTCACAAATGCCCAAAATGGCTCCCAAATATCCATTTAGTATCATATTTTATAAATGATTATCAATAAGGAGTGCAGTCACAAAATTTTTTCCATTTTAGATTTATATACAACATTCAGTTTAGCCAAATACTGTTTAAAAATTACATACTGTACACATTGAAATGCTTTTTTCTTTACTTTAGAATTCATTTAAATGACAATAAAGGAATATTTTCCTTGCACATTGATATGAATATCCATATGAGATTTTATCTTACTTCCCTTTAATATGAGGATATTGTAATACATGAGTGCAAAAACTTGGAAGAGCTATATTTTAATTGGAAAAATTAAATATTCCTATGAACATTTTGATAAAAATCACACAAAAAATTTAATGTAAGTTAAATATAAAGCATTTTTTATATGCAATAAATTACCAAAATGCACCATACACTAACTTTCAAAATGTAATACTAAACTTAATAATACTGCATAAGCAAACGCTGAGTTTGTAGATATTAGAGAAATAATTATTTTTATTTTTTAATACCAGATCTGGCATTTGTCGTGCAACATACCCAAGATGTGCTTATATTTGGTTACTGTGAACAACATATATCTGGGAAAGTGAAGTCCTTGTTTTATCACTTATCAAGTTACATCAGCCTACAGGAAGTGGTCTCAGCTCCAGTGGTGTAGATGTAAAGTGTTTGCCTCTCACCTATCTGACGTGGGCTGAAATTCTACTGGAGACAAGATCTCTGAGTCGATGAATGTCTGCAGCACAACCTTCCTGTTTTCCAGATTATCAGGTCATTTCAAGACCCTGTTAAGAAATATCTTGTGTTTGGTGCAATTTAGCACAGTTTATTTTTTGTAACAAAAATCCAAATGATATTATCCAGTGCAGAGGGTTTGTACTTGTGCAATAGGGTAATAGTAAAAGGGCATCTTTTGCCAAATGTTGTTCAGTTGGTCCATTGGACCCAGGTATCCAATACCATTTCAAGTATTGCCATGTTCACATATGTATATTTATTGGGCCCATAGGAAGGAGCAAAGTCTCCAAAAATATCTTGCATTACCCCAGAGAAACTGGAAAATGGCAAAGAAAACCAGAAAATAGACCTATCTGTATGGTTTTTATTACTTGCAGTTTTCCTACTGTAACATAGAAACTGGACTGATACTGTTTCTGTTTAGGAAAAAACTTATTTTTATCTCCAGAATATTTGGAAGATTTTGAAACTTGCAGTTAAATAAAATAAAAGTAAACTTTTTACAGAACGTTTTGCATGAAGTATTTCATTTCAAAGTGCTATGTATGGCCTACATTTCAATTACCCATAATTACTCCTAACAATATGATAATTTGGAGTCAAGTGTATTTACAGAGTAAAACCATAATTTTATGCTCACTCCAAATCACTATTATATCACTGATCATTCAAAGGTTAGTTTTCCTATCACAGCACATCTTGGTTATGCTGTTCAACATACACAGATCCAACATATTCAGATAAATTATAATATTTGCAATTAGTTAAATCAAATTTAATTGCAAGTGTTTTAATTATTTGAATTAATTAAATGTATAAAGTTTTATTTTAATATATAGAGAATCCATCTATTGCAATACAATTATAACAGATCACTAGATTCAATATATTTTAAAGTAAATGGTACAGGTATACCTCGCCTTACGTCGGTAATTGGTTCCAGGAAAACGACGTAAGTCGAAAAACGACGTAAGTCGAATTTACCTGTCTCCGAATCTACTTATCACTAGGAAAGCATTTTAAATAATATATGGTTAATAAAAATCTATTTTAAGCTTACAAACAAATAAATTTTAGTTTTTAATATAGTACAAAAAAAATAATCTAAATTTACGAATGCGTGTACTGTAAATACAGTACATACTTGTATATATTTTAATATGATTTTATGTGCTTTAAACGTTTATCTAGTGATATTACGACTTCAATATTTGTGGCGGACAGACGTAAAGTCGAATAAAATGACTTAAACTTGATTTTTATTTTTCCATATATTTTTTTAACAAGCGACGTATAATCGGGAACGACGTAACTCGAAACGACGTAAGTCGAGGTATACCTGTATAGTAGTAATAAATATTGTGAAAATTGTTGACAATTTTAAGGATATAAACATGACAGATTTATGGAACACTAAGGCTTACTTTAATATTTTGTTTCAAGAATAAAAAATTCTATATTTTTTAAAACTAAATACATATTGAACAATAAACTAAAATTATATGATTTTTGAAGATTTCTATGAATAATCAAAAATAAAAAAAAAAGTGAATTTTACAGATATAATTTGAGGAAAAGTAAAAATATGCAAGTTTAGTGATATAAATTAATATTGAATAAACATTAATATCAATTACTATTATGGTAATTTTATTTTTAATAAATATATAATGAAATAAATAACTCCAAAATTTATTACAAACATCAGAATTATAATTCTCTCTTCTTTTAATTACGGGTAATTTATAAAAATAAAATACTTGAGTTTATTGACAATTTATAATTCAAAGATTGGACACAAAGTAAAACATCTCTACGATATATACAATAAATATATATAAAATTAAATTTGCACATTTTTAATCATTCTAAAAAAGCTTAGACATTTAGTATATTTTAATGTTCATATTTTTAAATGGAATTTAAAGATTCATAGCTAGAAATATTTTTCTAAAATCAAATTTTTCAACAAAATATTATTTAAGTTTATAATTCCAATTTTAGAAATAACTGCATATAAATTTTGTATTATATTCAATAATTAAAATGATAAATATTTTTTGATTATCAGAAATCTCAAATTATATCTGTTAAGTTTTAATTTTAAATTTATGTTAATATTAATAAAAATAAATTTTTATCAAAAATAAAGTAAGAAATAAATCTTATTGTTTTATACATATGCATACATATACACCACTTATAACAATAAAAATAATGATGTAAAGTTATATATTTATATTGATGTAAATTAATCCAGAAATGTTATCTAATTTTATTGTAATAATCCAAAATTATAATTAAAAATAAGGTGTTTATGTTTGAATTATTAGATCAGTAATACTGATTATTAATCATTTTATTAAATTTTTAAAAGCAGAACTTAATAATGCAGTTTCTGAAGTGGAATGCAATAAAGTAACAAAAAACAACAATAGTGTATATGTGTATATATATATATATTAAAAACAAAGAATATTTAAGTAATAATATATCTAAAATATCTTTGTACCTACTAAAATTATATAAAAATAATAAATTTGTTCCTAAATTAGCATCTTGAATTAAACAAACAATTTAACACACAAATATGAAAAGTGAATAAGAAAAATAAGATTTTCTTAACTGGAAGATTTTTTCCCCCTTTGGAATGTATTTTTATCACTTAAATTATATCACAAATTTTTTGCTTTCAAGGCTTTTGATACAGCTAATCTTTCTGAATCAGTAAAATCTAAAATACTTTCAATTGCTTTCAAGTGACCTTTGTTATCTTTCTCTGTTAGAAAATAATACATTGCATCTTTCAAAAATTTTAATGTGTATTCTGAATGACGATCTCCATTTCCTTTAGCTGCCTGTTTGTAGAGTTCACATCTATACAGTTGTTTTGTCCTTTCTAATTCGTGTTCCGTATGATGCAACTGTTGTAATAATTCAGGAACAGAGACCCGTTTTGGTGCTGTGTGGGCAAATTCAAGTACTTCATCAGCATGTTCAAATTTTGCTGCTTCTTGTCCTTTCCTTTAAGCATTAAAATTTTTTTGTTAATTATAATTTAAAAAAAAATTAATAATCTAATCATTTAATAAGTTTATACCATAAGTAAGACAAAAAGAAATCATTTAAAATTAAACTATTTCTTAATATTTCTTCAAAAATAGAAGTACAATCAAACCTCTGTTTTTGAACTTAATTCGTTCCTAGAAATAATGTAAAATAGATTAACCCATTCCTGTAAAAAGGTAAAAAACATTTTTTTACCTTTTTAGCTATTTAATGCATAAAAATGCCTATAAAGGCAATATAATATATATATTAAAAGTAAAAAATGTTTCGTCACTGCCAACTGAAACCAAAACCAACACTTTACAAAGAAGTGCTATAAAGACTCAACTCTGACTGCGAAGATGAAATATTGGGTTGTTCAAAAAGTAAGTTCGTTTTTTTCCGTGGAAAAAAAACGCAATATTCTTATGATAAATAAATATTTTATTGAATTATATGTTGACCATTTAGGTCAAATACCTGTTGTCATCATTTCTGGTAGTAGCACGATTTCACATTCATAAAAGTTTTGATCGTTGCTTACAAAAAACCGATCCAAGTGATTTTTGACATTGTCATTTCAAGTAAATGTCTTACAGTTAAAAAAAATTTTACAGACCGGAACAAGTAATAATCTGAGTGTGCTCGATCTGGCGAATATGATTGGTGTGATAGCAGGTCCCATCTAAGTTATAACAGTTTCTGACCAGTTACCAAACTTGTGTGAAATTTGACATTATTATGGTAAAACACTACAGCTGTTTTTTTTATCAATTCTGGCTGGCTTTTTCTGTTTGATGATATTACGCAATTTGTTTACTCGAATGCAGTACACTTTCGAATCAATTGTTAAATTGTCTGGTAAAAGCTCCAAAAAAAATTTCCTTAATATCCCACCAAATAGAGCATTTCTCTTTAAGAACTCGTGGAATTCATATATCGAGCTTTGAAACGAAACCAATTTGTTTCAAGTACTCATAAACAGTTCAATTTGACAAATTTAATCTCTTAGTGATTTCACGTGTTGTTATTCCGCAGTTTGCTTCAATCGGTACTTTTATTTTGTTTTCATTGGCTTCAATTGGCCATCCATAACGTGGTGCATCTTCAATACTGAAATTGCGAGAACGAAATTTTGTAAACCAGTTTTGGCACTGTCGTTCTGTCAACACATCTCCACCATACATGTCACACGATTTTTTTCTTGCTTGAACGGCATTTTTATTTTTTTGGTAATAAAAAAGCAAAATATGCCGAAGATGCTGCTTTCGATCTTCCATATTTGATGGGACACAAAAAATAAACAATTGCACGAAATCAAACAAAATTTTTTACAAATAAGCCATAAAATGCTAGCTGTCAAAATATATAATGATAATACAGTTTAGAACGAAAATGGCAGAAAAAATACCACTAATCCGTCTAGTGGTAAAAAAAAACGAACTTACTTTCCGAACAACCCAATATAACCAAATCAATCAAGATGAACAAGTAACCTACTTTATCCACACTTTCTGAAATACTGTTTTTCAATTAATTTGACTTCTTAAATTTATTTATTTATTTATTTTCAGTGTAAAGGCCAGTTTTAATTAGTATTTTATTAGTTTTTGTTTAATTAACTGGCTACCTAGTATTAATAAATTATATTATAGTATTATATTAATAAATTTTTGTCAAATAATTTAACTTAAGCATATTTAAACACATTCTTGAATGCCATTTATATTATGTGAATATCAATTAATGCAGTTTTTATTAATTAATTTGGTTTAAATTCAACTGTGGTATGTACTGAAAAACAATTAGTATCTTTCCCACATGTGCATTGAAATTAATTTAAATAGCAATGTCATTGATGATGGTATCATGATGCACGGCAATCTTGGTGCCACTAACTTCTGAATTGGTAGTCTTGTTGTTAGTCAGTTGACTCTCTTTAAACAGGAAGTATAGGAAGTTGACCATCGGTGGCTGGCTGTGCTGAGTAGCTTGTTTGGAAACAGAGTTATCATCCAGCAACAGACAAAAAGGAGTTCAAAATTTTGTTTGTAAACCAAATTGTTCAAAAGGTGAGGCATTCAAAACCCAAGGTTTGACTGTACTCAACTCCATAAATATTTTAATTTAGAAACCCACTACATTTTATAGAAGTCAAAGCTTTATTTCTAGATTAAATATTTGTTCATGCTATCATTTGTTTCTAATATGTGCCATTATTATTATTATTATTATTATTATATGGGAATCATTATTCCTACCATTACAAAAATATTCCTATATTTTATTTATTTCTTTTCTAAATTTTTGTTATACAGGATGATCCAGATCACTCATACACTCCTTTTAATAATGAAGTGAAGTGAGTTTTATCAAAAATCCTAAAAACTTTAATAAATAAATCAGGTACACTATCTCTTCTGTATAATTGTAGAATGGGGTTGGTTCTACAATTTAACTTGAAGATCACCTTTTCAGCAAAGGAAAGAACCTTTTCCTTTGCTGAAAAGGTAATCTTCAAGTTAAATAAGAAATTCAATTGGCTCCTAGAATCTACAAGAAAGCAGCATAAGCATCCACAACCAACCCTGTTCTACAAGTATACAGAAGAGCAAGTTCTAGCCCCAATTCTCAAGATTTTACAAACAGGTACACTGTGTTGAATGGTGATGTTTTCAACTCCCAGCACTAGCCAGAAATGAGCTATCCAGGCCAAAAGTCAAATTTTTAAAATGGAATATGGTACTTTTTTATTTTAGATTTGGATTAAACTGGAAAAATAAGATAATTTTGTCTCAAACACTTTTTCTGAAAACACACTACTGACCATAAAATGATCTTGAAAGTGTTATGAACTCTTCTTGGCAAAACATTATTACAAGCTGTTTCATCACAATATTTTTCAGCTGGTTGAATATTCAGTGTCAATAAATGTAACATTATACTTGTGTTTACATTTTCATTTTCAGTAGGTGTATAACCTATCAAGGTGTCAGTGAATTATGCAGCCCTGTCCTACAAAGTTTTTTCAAGAAGAGTAGATGTTTGCCTCGATTAAGACAGTGTTCATTTGAATAATAGTTAAACAGTGCCAAATAGGTTATGCCAGAAGAGTTTATGCAAACAAAAATATTATATAACATTTTAGTAACAATTTTGTTCAGCATCAAATATGATTATTGAACCAACATTCTTATTATGTTTTGCCTAAATTGACAATCTGTTAATAAAAATATCTTGTAATGTATGATACTTTATTTTTTTCAGTATCATTTTTCTCTGTGCATCACACTTTCAAGATCATTTCATGGTCAATGTAAGCATTTTCTGAAAAAATATTTGATAAATAAAAAATAAAACAATTTTGTAAGATTTAGATAAAACAAAAAATACCATGTTTCATTTTAAAAATTCAACTTTTACCCTGGAAAGAGTATTTCTGACCAATACTAGAAGTTGAAAATATCACCATTTGATAAAAATACCAATTTATTTACCCAAACTTTTTAGAATTTTTGATGACACTCACTTCCCTCTATTTTAAAAGGGTCTGGATCAACCTGTATATTAAACACAGTTTAAAAATCCTTTGTATATCAAGAACAAAACTTTAATATCAAAAATATATCTACCAACTAACATTTTTCAATTAATACTGATATTCATCAGGTCATTTATGTTCTGTGAAGATCAGTATTGATTGAAAACATTAGTCAGTACATTTTAAAAAATATACAGGACTGGCATACTGTATAATTTTTAAAAAGTTGTCCTTTGTTATTCTTTTTTGAAAATTTTGAATTTAATTTTGTGTTTAGAGGTGAAGAGTAAAGCAACTCCAAAAATGTTTAATCCAGAAATAAAGCTTTGATTTTTACAAAATAAGAATAGATTTTAAAATTATTTCTAGTAATTATTCTATAAAATATTAAAAATAAATATGATAATATCAGAAAATAAATAAAATTAAACAAAAAGTTNTAATTATTCTTTCTAAAATGCCAGTGGCGTGCAATCCAAAGAGACTTTTGAGAATTGGAACTTGGAACATGAGGACTAACAAAGGGCAGAAAACTGGGAAATCTGAAGAATGAGCAGAAAATAAATAAAATTAAACAAAAAGTTTGTGTAAAAATAATTCTTGAAAACAATTGAGAAATTAAACAAGTTTCCTATATCTACAAATCAATTTCTCTCTTTAAAAACCAAATTTTTCTAATCAATTGTTTTTTTAAATTTCTTGAATAACATTTACAAGAACTGTTCAATTATGGGAATGAAGGGGGTTATTAATTAATTTTAATTCATCTATCAAGAATATTTACGGATGGTATTCATTTATAATTCATCCTTTATATATATATATACTAAGCAACTTAACTATTTATTGTGAAAGTATCCAAATAGTTTTTACTATAAAATATTGAAATTTAGAATGTATTTGCCAATGATAACATAGAAAGCAAGCTACTTGTTTTCTATATTATATTTGGTTTTCAAAATTCCAGATATTAATGAAAAATGAGTAACATTTTTTACATATATATTTATTAAAAACCATTAATAAATTGAAAAAACCTATATACTATTCTGATAACTGCACTTGTATTAAATCATCACACTATTACTCAGATCTTTAAAATACAGTAAAATTTCTATCTATTCATTCCAGGAGTGTACAAAATACCAAAGATAGTAAATTGTGCAAGACTTGTTCTTCATTGGAGTTACCAGAAGGTCACTAAAAGCAAGAGTATAAGAACACACAGACAGAATTCAGAAAGTTGGCCCTAGCATCATATGTGATTTCTGACTCTTGCTTGGTTTCAGTTGGAAACCAAGCACAAATAATTCAGAAAGTAAGTAGTAGCAAATCAGCAAATCAGATATAAAGAAGATTAGCACATTTATAAAACAATTTGAAATGAAAAACAATAAATTACAGAGACTGTAATACAATTTCAGTTAGGGGATGT